CGGTGGTGGGGGCGTGGCGGGGCGTTTGGCTCCGAGGACTGATTCGAGACTACAATGAGAGTCAGGCGATGGTTCTGCGCCACATCCGATCGAGTGCGGCTTTTTTTTGAGCTCACCCAGTCACATCCGCAGGTCGGGATTGGCCTCCAGTAGAGTTAGGCTCCTTGATTGTTTGAAACACTCATCCCATGCGATTGCAGGTTTGGTTGGATGATGGATGATCATCATAATGTTGTATGTATACTGTATATATATATAGTATTACAACAGTATATATGTATATGTTATATATGCACTATAAACTTTTAGGAAGATGATGTCCTGTGTGTGGCAGCTGCAGCTCGGCTGAGGGATTCGGTTTCATCGAGTGCGAGGACGCAAAGTTTAGGTACGGAATGGACGTCTTCATCCACAGGCAAGTTCCGATGTTGTTTGAATTTGGGAGAGAGATGTGGTAGTTGATGGATATAGGAGTTTTGTTGTTGCTTGAATTGAATGTTTGTTTGTTTCTGTGCTTGGTCAGAATATGTCAGAATCTCTCAGCTTCATTCAGACCAGTCAGAAGCACTAGCCACAATTCATCTCAATTCATTTGATTTTTCCCCGCAGATGTATTGCAGGCGGCAAATGTTTGGCCTGGCAAAGGGAGATGAGGCTGGCCATCATTCTGCCTGGTTCTATGAGATGTTGAAGTGATACAGAACTACCCTCCATCCAAGAAAATCGAAGTGGAATGGACACTTGCAGAGGAAAACAGCCTTCCAAGGCCAAAGATCTTGTCCCCACCGAATCAGGGGCTCTGCTGTTTTCTTTTCCGCAAACCTGATCCCGGGAAACATTTATTATGTGTGTATTAATTAATACTATTACAATTATTGTATAATATGTATTACTTATATGTGTGCATACTATATAACATGAAGGATATCAGCAGGACTTTGGAGACCAGGATGAGCTGACAGTACTTAAAATAAACACGTCAACATGTGACATATGAAGCTAAAGGGGGGTACAAGGGTATTCTTGTCCATCAGATGGTGGCCGACGATCACCTGGCTTTTTTGTGCATGCACCTCCTGCCGTTGCGTGCTGCAGGTCAGCTTCGTGATTGTCCGAAATTCCCAAGGTGCAGCCACGGTGCAGCAGATGTTTCGGATGTTTGTCCTGAAAAAATAACATAAGATTCCCATCGCTGATGGAAGAAGCCCTAAATCATGCTGCAGAAGTAATTCCTTTAGCATCGATAAATGCGGGTTTCTCACAAGATATATACTTGCATCCTAGATGATCCTCGATTGCAGCAGGCCAGCCTCAGGCTAGACATGTCATCAAGAAGGAGGAGCCATTGGCAAGCGTTTGCGAAACGATGCCTCGAATGCCAGAGACTCTACAGGCACCCTGTAGTCACCTAGTCAAATCTGTTTGGACTTTGCACCAAGTTTTTCGAATCCAGGTTTCGAGCTGATTTGCGTGTGTTGATCCATGTTGATCCAACAAGTACACACATTGCAATGCCGCTTCATTTATCTCCCGCATTTAAGAGAAACATGGGCTTCTTGATTTCATGGACCTCGCTGGACTACGACCTAATGCAGGACCTAATGACCTAATGCATCTCTCGAAATCAAGAACACACACACACATATCAGAAACTGTGGGGTGGTGGTGCATTGGTACATATTGGTACCATTGGGGGGGTCCAAATCAAGGGCTCATGAGAACAGCAGTAGTTAGGCGGTCAGCTGTTCCTTGGTTCGCCTCCAACTGTGGGGTGGTTGGTGGTTGGCAAGATTGCAGGCTTGTGATTCTCCGTGTTTTCATATGTTTTTGTCGCAAAAAGAGAGAGTCCGCAGCCCATTGGGCCGTGCTTGGTGTGAAAACCATTTACGACGCGTTGGATGTGTTGGGCCTCCAAGGATCCACCCAGACTCCACCCAACGGTCCGTGAGTGGCGGTCCGTGTTTTGGAGGAGACTGCCCGGATCTTGGAAAAGAGGAAGGACCGAGAAAGAAGAGAGGCACAGCATGTGTATTAACCTTGCAAGCAGGTGATCGAGGCACTTACAGTGCTTACAGCGCATGGCGCTCATGGCGCTTACAGCTCATGCTTTCTAGCAAGATGCGGAGACTTGCCTTTCTTGAGACACACTTGGCCCACTTGGCCTCCCCCAAGAGGAAAGATGGACATTCACGAGGGTTCAACCTTCCTCCAAAAGTTTTTGCCGGTCAACACATAACCTCCAATGGGCTTTGGAACCTACACCGAAGCTGGAGACATTTGGGAAGATCATGCAAGCTCCTCGTTCGTTGATCTATCGTAATTTACATACAACACGTCAGGCCAAATTTCTTTTGTAACGCCCGTGAACGCACGAACGCTGCGTTCGTTTGTTGAAACGCATGTTTTTGGCTTGTTCGCCGGGAAAGCGTTCACAGGCTGCAAAGCTCCAAGCCAAAAAGCAGGCCTCTGAAAAGGCCAGGACCCGGGACCCGTCACGACTGGCTCGCCCGGGCCTTCAGACGTCCAGGACCACTCGGAGCCGACGCTGATTTGGGAGGACCGGTCTTAATGTTTACTCTTTGCAATTGGAAGCCCAAGTCCTTTTGGTTGGAGTGAGTGAGTGAACTAGCGACAGAGACGTGGAACGACAGAAGTCTTCTTGTTGGTTTTCGCTTTTGGATGCTTTTGGTGGATACAAATGCAAGCATGTCTAACCGGATCGCATATAAAGGTGATTTGATCACTTGCAAGAGACACCAACGCTATTGGTTGGAGATTACAACAATTACAGTGGTTTCAGAGTAGATGACATAATCCCCAAAAGGTGGTTTATATGGACCCCGGACCCCCATCTAAAGGACATCTTGGGCTCTGTGCCATCTACTCTGAAACCGCTGTATACAGCGGAGGCTTTCAATGTGCTTGTGCTTGTGTGTGAGGCTCAATAAAGACCCAAACAAGTATATATTGGAGTCCGGCCAAAAGTCTATAATAGAAAACATACATATTGTTTTTTCAATTAGATTATGTAGCGGGCCCCCAGCTAAACACAACACCTGTTGCAGCTGGACGCTAGGTTTGCGGTAGACTTGCGTCAGGTTTTTGAAAAGTGGCTGGCTGAAAAATGCGCTAGCTACGCGCTAGCGCTGTGCTAGATCAGATCTTACTAGATCCGCGCTAGCAAACATTGCCAGATTCCAGCGGTGGACCCTTCCAAGGCTGACTTGTCACATGTCTTTGTTTCAAGCATGGCTTGAAGCTCGGAGATCAGCTGAAAACGGTGCAGCGCTTGTGACGCCTCTTGCAATTTGGCGCCAATACTTGTTTGGTCAATGTTTCCCTCACTAACCAGCTGTGTGCGCCAAAAGTAAAAAATATGGAGCGGGCCCCCATGTGAACACGATTTTCAGCCATTTTTTGGAAGAAGACATTTCGACCAGATCCCATATAGATAAACAAATACATGTATATATAGTTATATGTATACAACTACGGTGTATATATAAAATATATATAATTCATTTTTTCGAAATAATATATATATATATAATGTTTACACAACACGTACTCTGAATATCTTCTGTGGACTCACCATTCAAGGTCGGCCGAAGGGTCGGCAGACGACCCCGACCTCTGAGGGGTCGGCGTCCTGCTCGGTTCTGCTCACCGGACTGGTTTTGGCTTCGTGCCCAAACAAACCATAAACACCCTACCTGGTACTTGCCCGAGCCGGGAAGACCCCATGACCAACGGGAAGACCTCAGGTCCTTCAAAAGGCAGCTCTGCGTAACACAGAACTCTTTGCGCCAAACAGGTCTTTACGCCAAGCAACTTGGAAGGCAAGGTCATGTCTGAAGAAGAGGCCCGAAGATTTCAGGCCCGTAGCGGAAGCTGCGGCGAACCCCTGCGGGGTTCGTACCTTTTTGTGCGTTGCTTTGCGACATGTCGGTGCGGCAGATGCAGGAACCACAATGATGATCAATGATGACTTCTTACATGTTCGATCGCAATTTGACAATAATTATGCACAAATTAAATCTATGAAAAATGTATTGAATATTGAGTCTATTCTTTAGAGAGACCTTAGAACCCAGAATCATAAGAACAAAGACGAGCAGAAACAACCTCACACAGATGCAGAAGCCCAACTAATGTCTTCACCGTCTTAGCCTCGCTAGCGGCATCGCGTGTGTGCAGGCTTCTTTGAAACGGGGCAGATGACGACAGCAGTGCGGCTCTTGGACGGGTGACCTGCGTGAAAAGCTGGTGCGGCTCTAGGCATTCTCCGGACTGAGGTCTATCCCATGGTGAGTGAAGCGCGAGATGAGCGAAGGAAAAATGGAGTGCCTTTGGAGGGAGTTTGAAGGAGTGGTGATCAGAACGAGGCACATGGAATTCGGAAGCCTTTGCAATTGTCACCTAAGGTGATGTAGTATCAGTATGGGTTTTAATATTTATGTACCAGGGGCCCCACTAACCATCAAAAACCTTGTTTTCCCTAGCAACAAATATGGTTTTTGTATGTGAAAACCTTTGTTTTTCATGGTTGTGAGGGCCCCTGGTATATAATGTTCTCATGTTCAATGTTTGTCTATGTCAGGCTGGCTCTACCGGCCTGAACAGCTGTAAGATCCCACTTTGAAGCGTCCCTTCTTCAAGAAGACAACCTTTCTTGTCCCCTGAACATGATCATTCTAATGTGGGCTGAGGCTTAACATCCCTTCCAAGATAGCCACGCTATACAGGATGAACTGCAAAGAATTGCACACTGTACCCTGCGACTGGTGGAGATGTTTTTCTATGCAATTTTGGCATGTGTGGATCAAGCCACTCTTTTCACGGACATCCCTCATCCCTCATAACTAGTTTTTCTGATCCCCTTCCTCACTACTGGTGGCCCATCCTTCCACTTGCTGATGTTTGCCAATCACCTACCCAGTCATGTCATAAGTCACGAAACCAACATGTTGCCTACATATTGCCCATTTGATGCGCGCCAGATTGCCTCATGAAACAGAAGCAGCCGGAGCTCGCACAAGAATACCTTCAGCAGATGCTCGACTTTGGCTGCGAACCCGATGAGGCGGCGGCTACATGGTTTCATGAGTTATAACAGCACCTACCAGGGTTGCAAGTGCTTCTCATGTTGGGCAACCCATGTCTTCCAAACGCCTCAAAAAATATGGGATACCGAATACCTCAGCATTTGAACTCTCACCCTGCGTTTCCTCGCGCCATCAAGGAACGATGCATTTTTGTCAGGTGAGCTTCAATGCAGTGGTGACCGCCTTACTGGCTGCGGGGAAGATGGCAGAGGCCAGTAAACAAAGAGATCCAACAAAGTAAGACCAGAGAAGGGATGAAGATAGATGAAGTGGTGCAGCCTTGAGTTTCTCACATGGAGAGAAAAGAGACAGTGGCTTGCAAAGGAATCATTCTAGGTATCCAGCGGCCCTTTTTGAAGGTTCTATCAGTCAGTACATGTCAGTACTCAGTACTGTGTTTTCTTTCTGGCCAATGTCCTTCAGTTGGACATCCACTCATCCTTTGAGATGTTTCGTGAACTCACCAATCCACGAAAGCCAAAGGGATCTCAGGGATCTGCATTTGAGCTGCTCGTCACTCAGGGGTCATTCAGGTTTTGTATGGCATCTTCCCAACACAAGATGCACGGTGGCATCTTCCCATTCATCGGACCTGCCGATCCGTGCAGCAGCTCCATTCATCGGACCTCAAGTCCGGCGGTTCAGAGAGAAGTGTCACGTCCGTTCCGATCCGCCCCACCGGACGTAAAGTTCACTGAAAGACGGTCGGAAGTGACCAAAGACTCGGGTCACCTGAAGGTTTGCATGTTTGAATAGTCTTGGACTTTCAAAAAACTGATGTATTTATGTTATAACTATATGATATATTAGTATAATTATGACCATTGAGTGATCACCAGGACTTTCACACTGGCAAGGCTGGGAAAGCTTTGAAGCAGATGGTCACCATGCAGCTGATCCCCTCAAGGCCTCCCCACAGCGAACGCGTTCGTCGTTCGTCGAACTCGTCGCAATTCGGATGGGATCCGGGTGGAAAGGTTGTTCGGCTGGAACAGCTGCGAATGAGTTCGGTTAGCAGAGAGAGCCCCGTGTTACGTTCGTAGCGAACCTTGTTACGGTCGTAGTAAGGCTTCTGGAGCCCCGTTCGTAGTGAACCTGGTTACTACTAGTAAGGCACTTGTTACTAGAAGCGATGCACTTGTTACGTTCGTAGCTTCTTGTTATTACTAGCGATGCACCTTGCTATACGAATAGCTAATTTGTGACTAAGTAGTAATGCCAGGAGCTACTACTAGTTTCTTGCTCCTAGTAGCGAGGCCTCCGCCACTAGTAGCGAGGCCCCTTGTTTTTGGATGTTAGAAAGATGTGACATGACACGTACTCAGTAGAAAGGCCATGGTCCATGGATGGTCATGGTTTCTACAAACGTTGTAGAATTGCTTTTGTACCAACATCTTTGAAGGGAATTCTTGGGACTGACACGCACCAAAACGGCTCCCCTATCTTCGGTTCCGAGATCTCCCCGTCACGTCGTGTGGAGCCAGGACTCATTACAATCAGCTGATCCAGCATCATTGCAAGATCGGGGAGGTGTCGAAGGTGCGGCCCGGCGGCATCACTGGCGCCTCTTGTGCCATGGCGCTGCTTTGAGAAAGCACCCGGCCTGGTCATGCGATGGATGATGGATGGTTGGTTTATGGGGATCGTCTTCGGGACACCCCGAAGAGGACTCAGCTGCGGTTTCGATTTCCCCAACGGCATGCCTGCGAGAAATGGTGCCGGTTCGCCTGGGCCGAATACAGATGTCAAGGCCACTCCATGTTCACACTGTGGTGCTACTATTAATATCTAGTTGTTATATAAGTTGATGCTATTTTGCACAGGGGGATTCTTCTGTGGCACAATCTGTGCGGGTTCCTTGGAAGAAGATCCCTCAGCATAATTTGGAGAGCCGGCAGCCTTACCTTATTTTGTTTGTTTCTTCTTTCAGCTGGTGCTTCGGCACACTGTTTCACCAGAAGAGCTTCTATAGATGGGGGTGAAATCTGTGAAACCACATTTCTTGGTTTGTGCCCAGGAATCTATAGACCGCCTTAACTTAACAACCTGCAAAAAAGCATTAATATACGAGAGATTACGAGAGTAATATATATATATATATTATAGACCTATAGTATGTAATAGCAATACTTATGCTTACGTATGTTCCATTTTCCTTTATGTGCCATGGACAACATCACGCAGAAATCGAGTGAACACCTGAAGACCGTGCCATTGGCGCTGAAGACCGTGCCTTTCTTGTTTTCCCCCAGTCTCCACGGTGTGTCTCTTTGTGTCTCTTCTAGGCTATGCTGCAGATTGAACCGACACTGAGATGGTTGGCCCTTGCATCCCTTGCAGGTCGTGCAACAGAGATGGTTGGCCCTTGTTGTGTACTCGTCCTTTCCCTTTCCCTGGAGGCTGCCTTTTGGTTGACCTTGATGAAGGCTACGGGTCAAAGTGATTCACAGTGTTGAAGGGAGGGTCCAGACAAGGAAAAGATGTATTGGAAGCTGCTCGTAAGGTTTTGAGTGTTCAGGTTCTTCACATGGTTTTCAATGTATCAGATGTGTGAAGTGGCAACCATGTTGCTCCGCTGATTTCAGCAGATCTCAGTGCAGAGGTCTCATGGATTTGCCATATTTGCACCATGTCTTTTTGCGTTTTGGCTTCGTCCGAACTGGACGTTTCGAGATCTGTCCCTGGCGCATACTGCGGATCCCCACGCCATGGCCATGTGCCGCTGTAGAAGCCGCTGGAGAGGATGTGCCACTGTGGCCTTGGTGTGCAGCTTCCTCCTGCAAAGAGGCGGAGCCGGCGGAGCATGGATTCAACCAGACACCAAGACCCTCACCCGGGTTGGATGGAGCAGCCCTGCCATGGGCAGTGGACTGAGAAGTTGGCAGATGCGAACTGGAGTCGGGTCGACCGTGACCATGAAAGCAGTCGAGAAGGAGCTTGACACCGAGGCGGAATTCGTGGAGCTCGAGCGAACGCGATGGAGCACTGAGTATGGAAATAGCATTTTTTGAACTTGCCAAGTGGATTATAGTGGATTTCTCGGATTGAAGGTGTTCGAAGTCTAGGCGACTTAGTATGTATGAGTTATGGTCTTGAGTTGGCCATATTTGAGTTTGAGAAACACAGGCTGCCACTTGGTGCACCCGATGGTTCTGTGGAGAGTACTGGAGACATGACAGAGATTCCACACAGAGCTTGCATATGTGTTTGGATGTGTTTGGTTTTGACCTAAACTGAAGAATGTGGGATTGCACCTCCCACATTGCCGTTACTGTTGTGCTACACCAATCATGGTCGAGTTGCAGCTGATGAGCAGGAGCGGAGCGTTGGTTGATTGGTTGGTTCATAGGGGCTTGTAGTAGGATCGATGAGACATCCCACGTGGGCCAACTTGCAGGCACCGACCACCGAAAGGGTTCAGAGTGTCCGGCTCCTGACCTTCAGAAGTGTCGCTCTCCGTGCGTTTTGGTCACGTGCTGTGGTCATGTGTGAGCGATCTCGAGTTGCTTCGTCCCTTCCGGTCTCGGGATGAATCACACCCTGTGATGCTCACACCTTTGGTCTCGCCGGAATGTGGCAACAAGCGATGTGCCAGGCCGTTGGGAAATATCTCGCTGCCATCGCGGTGCAAATGCTGGCGATCAGCGCCTTCTTCGCGGCCCTGGATGCAGTCTTGACGAGTTCCGAGTTTCAACCACCGGAGGCTTATTCAGAAGGAAATCGGGTGGGTCCAAGTCAGGGGGGTCCAGGAAATCCTTTGTGAGTTGAAGACGCGCCAAAAAGGCCTCCTTCTGGAAGGAAGTGGACCAGTCAGAGGAAGATGGTGAAATGCATGGGTTGCGCACTCTTTCTTTCTTGATCATGCGGATGACGTGGATGGCTTGAGGGAAAAAAACGATCATCAAGTCTGTAACTATATATAACCATTATGATATTCCTGGAGGAAAAATCGGAGCGACGAAGTGAGATCAGGTAGGGTGATGCACTGGGACGTCTCATCTGAGAGGCCCAACAGAATGGGTGGATGGCCGCAATGCAAACTGGATAACCTAGACCGGGGTGGTGCAGCTCAATTGAGCCTATACTCAGCACCTGTGGCACCTGTGGAACCGGTGCAGTGGATACATGTGGATACCAAGCTTGGTGAACAGGTGGCTCATCATGGGACACGCGGGTTGCTGTCGGTTGATCTAAACCTTTGTGGATTGGGTAGCTTGAAACCTTTTGAGAACCTCATTACCAAAAGATAGTAAGCACCTTTCAGACAAATGCCTGAAGTGAAAAATGCATGAAATCAATGGGAACGAGTCCTAGAAATCCTGTGTCCTTTTGCTCCAGAATCACCATCTAAGAGCTTTCTAGTTGCGGTCAACGTGTTTGTTTGCCTGTGAATTGGGACGCAGCTGGGGCGTCCAGATGGCCCTGTACCAGATTCTTCCAAAAGTCGCCAGATTGTTTCAGGACATTTTCCTTGGCAATTCTGAGGACTGGGCTATCTTTGGACTTTTCTTTGGGCTGCTTGGCTGTGCGCAGTCGGTATGTTCGCTGGTATGTTGGTTGTTTGCTTTGTCGGACCACCCAACAAAAACAGATCGACCAACATCAAGAATCAACCAACCCATTATATAGAGTTTCTTTATATGTAATAGTTATACAAAGATCAAGAATCAACTGAAGGTGCACCCTACCTCCTCGAACCTTTCCAGGGTGATTCCAACATTGCTCATCCGTGGTGGTACAGTCGTAGTTGCTTTGTGCCAGGGACCAGAGAGGCTTGATGTTTAACATCGTGAACAGACGGGGAAACTTGTTGAAGGATTGACCACCAGCTGACAGCTGACCCAACCTGTTCGAACCAAGCTTTGACCGTCACAATCATATCAGATTGTTTGGTGCATCTCAACTTGAATGGAGTAGGATAGGTTGTGTGCTTGTTCAATTCAATGCAAAACTAATGAATAGGGCTAGCGGAGTATTGCAGTACAATGCATTCCATCAGATCATTGGTTTGCTTCGAGCTTGAAATCTGTTCGGTGTTGCCAACCAAGGATGAGCATCAGATCTCGGCTCTTCTCTCCCTTGGACAACTCTCGTCCCGACATCGAGAAAGCGGCCAAAGGAGAAGCCACTGGTGGCTTCAACGACCGACAGATGCCCAGCGACCTGGTTGCAGCAAACATCAGCACCGAAACATGCGCTTTTCGCTGTGGAAGACGCTTAATTATAGAAGATCCACTGAACACATCTGAACTCCAACAGCATACGGTGCTTGCCCAGTTGAAGATTCGTTCCAATTGATTGATACCATGAAACAAAACGTTGACCGAAACACCACCTGCAGACCGGTCTGATTTGTGCAAAGCGGTCTGTGAAGCAGGTTGGACGCCTCCGGGCATTTTCTTTCCCATCATGTGGATCCTCATTGTGGCCCCACTGCGGGCAGCCGCCTCCATGATGCTTTGGCAGCAGGTGGGACCGTCGATCACCGGGCTCCGGCGGCTTGGGACGGGCTCGGACGCGCGGACGTCGATGGAAGTAGCGCTGCTCTGTAGGGTGCAATGGGCGCATACGACCGGCAGTCTTTGGGCCCACCGTCATGGGCATATACCCCAAATTGGTACCCCAAACAATCCATGGATTAAATATTAACATTGACCCTTACAACAGCTTTAAAAACCACCCCAATGTACGCAACAAATTCGGATTGTTTGGGTACCTGGTCTGTTGGTCTGTTTCAGGAAACGCCCGGAATCCAGGACCTCTCGGTTGATTTCCAGCATCACTGTTCCGAGGGCACGCGAGGTCACTGTTTTGCGGAAAACGTTGGAACCGTTTTGCCATCACCGCAAGCCCTGTGGCGCCGGTGTCGGCGTCCAACCTTCACCGTCTTCCGACTCAGGTGGGACATCTTTGTGATGGCACAATCCTAGCCCTGATGCTGCATTTGTCCATTGGAGATACCTGGAACACTGTGAATAATGTGGAGCGCAGACTAGGTGCGGCCGTGCCAGGACAGATGAAAAGGGTCCCAAAGGCAGCGAACAAGACAGTTCTTTTTTGTTTGAGACGTTGAGAGCTTCGACAAGACGTATAGCTTAATAAGTAAGACTGGAAATACCCAACACTCTCCACAAACAGACGACAGAATCAACGGTAGATGCTCCACTATGCTCCGTGTGATTCGCTTCTCAACATACCTGAAAGCGAAGACAGTAGATTCAACCAGACTGGCACCATCCTGTGGTTCCTTAACAAAGCCTCGGTCCTTGTACTCGTAGGTTGCTGAGATAAACTGAAACAACTGATGCACATCCACCAGTTCTCGCACCGATGTTAAGCGCTGCTGTTCGCTGCTTCCTTTTGAGCGATGCGACCGCCACGAGGAGTGTTGTGTGTTTGGGCATCCGCGTTGTTCGCGAGCTATGCCTACTATCAGGTGCCGGACAACTCGCAAAGATCTGGCTGTGGATTCCAAACAACTTTGCCAAACAACTGTCACTATAAAGTAGATTTAAGTAGCATATATAGTAGCATGATTAGATCTATTTGTTCAATGCATGTATGACACACACACACATTTGGCTTTGCACATGGGGCCTTTGTACAACAGGGCCTGCTCTTTGCAATCAAATCTCTCACTGGGATTCACTGTGAAGGTTCGGTAGATCGCGAGGTCTTTTAGGACGTTTGAAGAAGATTCAAAATAATATGATGTAAGGCCAGGAGCCCCTAGTAGCGTCCTTGCTCCTATGATGTGAGGGTCATGACAGCTGGACCCATCCCCAAAAAAATATCTACACCCCGACTACTCAGGACATCTCAGGAGCTTCACCTCCCCTGTCCCCTCCTTGGCAACCTGATACGTCAACCTGATGTTTGGCGCTTTTCTTATGGTTTTTCAATACATCCTTTGCTTCAAAGTGAAGGCCTTCCGCGCAGTCGCAGGTGGTGCCCCTGGCCGGTGAGCTCCTTCTCCCCACCTGTCTTTGGCTCACCGTGGCGGCCGCACTGGTCACCGACACCTGGCGTGTGAACAACAGCAGCGGTTTGGAACCTTTGTTCCCTTACCGCTCGCCAAACGTGCGGACGCGCTTCTGGTTTGCGGAGTGACCGGGTGTGCGCACATCCAGCGGTGGGTTCTGCACGCGCGCGCGCGGTCCGCGCACGGCCCGAATGGAGCAGCTGGTCCAAAGAAAGCAGCGGAACGCCCCTGCCGAACAAAGCTGAACCGATCGGTTGAAAAGGAAAGGACCGGAGCGCGGGCACCTGGCGGGAGTGCCTTGCGGAGTGCTTCGTCGAGATGTTTTTGCTGGGAAGAAGGGGAGGGAAGTGGAAGGGAGAGGAAGTTGGTGGCGATGTTTTTTGGTGATTGGGGAAGTGATGGGTGATGGAGAGTGATGGGAGTGATGCGTGATTTACGCTTGTCCAGAGTCCAAATCAAGGGTAACTTTCGGCGAGTCCTCTGCAATCGTGGGTGAGGAGAAAGCAACAATTCAATCTGAAGAAACAAGTCATATTGTGCCCTCAATGATGCAGTGTTGTTGAACATCCTCGACTGAGCCTTTTTCGCGGATGTTTGTCAAGATGTAACAAGCCTTCAATGTTGACCCCGGGTGCGTGCTCCACCAATTTGTTGTTTGTACTTGTTGCAGGTACTCCTCCTTTGGAGACAAGCCACTTGAGTTGCACATTCATAAGCTGATTTCCAGCAGAATTAGATGATCGTTTGAAAGGGTTAGCAAGATTGTCACTATCAGTCTTCCAACATGTTGGGTTTTTAGGGTCGGTTTCATACACGTTTGGCAGCACCCTTGTGGTTGGGGGTTGACCAAACAGCAGCCGGCAGAGAAAGATCGTTTGCACAAACGTCTGACTGACCACAGGCGACGCCTCCTTCCCTTCCAGATGTGGTTTCGTACCAACACCTGATCAATGCAGCGGCAGCCACGGAAGACGAAGACAGCGTGGTGTTTTGGCTTCATTCAGCTAGCTGAGGTACTAAGGGATGGTTTGCGAAAAGGTATGGTTCTCATAATCCTGCACTGCTTAGGGTTTGGGCTGTATCAAAAACTGGACTTTGTAAAACCTGTGAGTCTTGATATATGGCTCAGGTACTTGACATAGCATGAGATTGAGAGGCAAGGGATTGAGAGGTACTTGACTTTTCTTGAACTGACGGTCGCACAGAGATTGAGAGGCAAGGGATCTTCCCAACCTTTGCAGTGTCCAGTGTCCATGTGTGTTTTGCCAACAATGCTGCAGCCTGTTGTAGCTTCACATCTTATATAGTGGTGCTATTATTTAGACATATTTGGACAGACCAGACAGACCAAGGCCCAGTGCTTGGTTTCCACTTCCAAGGACCAGTGGCTTTCTGAGATGCGGAATGCAAGTTTGTCACCTGATGTGATCACCTACACCAGCCTCATGGAAAGCCTGGTGAGCCACACTCTTAGTCTTCGTGTTATAGAATTTGATCTTGTTGTTTACAGAGGGTTTCAGAGGTTCAGGTTCAGTGTGGAAGTTTAGGTCCTGGGCGGTTCGGGATCCATTTCTCTTGAAATGGTGCTGCGGTAAGAGCTTTGTGTGCATCACTCGCCGGCGGTAAGAGCTTTGTCACTATGCCAAAAGCTAATCTTGTTCAATGGGTGCGGTGTTTGTAGAAAGAAGATTGATGAATCGTCCATATTCCAGGACCTTCAAAGTGACCATCCTTGAGATCCTAGAATGAGGTCACGAATCGTCACAAACAGAGACTCCAAAGAGGTCACGAACTGAAGGTCCAGGTTATTGATATCAAGAAGTCAGCTGTCAGCAGTCAGCACTCCACGCCGAACCATCCAGCCTGTGGGTGATTCCGGGATTGGACTGGCATTTCTCCAGGTCGAAATGTGTCTTTTTGGAGTTTGACCGAAGTGTGCTTCAAGCAAGGGCCAATTCTTCAGGTCGAATGCATGTCGAAGTGCCAACTGGAGCAACTCATGCTTTCCCCGATGGGTTTTGGGAATCTTGCCATGCCACGGCCATATTATACCACTGCAATGATGACAAATCCTCTTTCGTTCTACTCCTAGCTTTGTCATGTTCCGCCCAAAAGAAGACAGAATGACCAGCTCCAAGGTCGAGGTGCTGATGAGCAGGCCAAGAGATGGTTGCAAACCATGGCTCTTCCCTTAGCAAACTCGTTGCCGCCATCATTGTTGCCGCCGGGCGTGCAGCTTCGTTGGCTCTTTTTTCGCGCCGGGCGACTCCTGCCCGCGGCACAAGTGCGCTCCGAGGTGAACGAATCAGTGCAACCAAACTTGGTGATGTTCAACGTCCTGCTCGCCTCCACTGGCAGGTCAAGAGCAGAGCTCACTGCGGGCCTGTCAATGAGAGACCCCCTGGCCGACTCCTGGCCTCCAAACATTCACCAATCAGGGCTGTTTGCAAGTCGAGTTTCAGATGGTGGACTGACATTGTGTTGAGAATTACAGGCTCTTTCGCATCCTTCTTCAGTCAGATGATATATTGGAGGAAATGAGTTAAATGCATAATATATGGTACGTACCCCCAAACAAAGAAACACACTCAAATTTGGTAGACCTTTTTTTTGATATAATATCAGAAGGCGGAGCAGCAGCTTCATTCAGCGCTCTTTGAAATTGCCTGATCATGGCGCTGACATTAGAACTCATATGGATCAGATGAACTCTGTAGGGTATTTGTTTTTGGTATGGGTCCCACGAGGGCGTCGCGAGAGGTGAGGGGCGTCCATCCCTTGTTTTTGGTTGTGTTCCTATGCATTTGTACCGCCATGTACAGTTCCTTTCTGCACAGGCAAGGTGATTGCAGCAGACAAGAGCTGGAGCACCGAGAGACGAGAGACTGGAGACGGATCCATGATGATCCCCTTTGCTTCTTTTTCTCAGTCCATGTCACAAGGATTGGGTGAAACCACACAAAGGGAAGCCCTCAATTCATGAAAACATCCAGGACATGGCACGAAGGTTCCGCCACCTTGGTGGATCTCTTCGTCCGCCTGTGAACCGAAACCGAGCGGAAGGTTGGACCGGTCCTTCGTCACCGTGAAGGACGAGTTCCACTCATCACTCATCCGGACTCATCCGGACTCATCCACTAATGGGTATTCATCCGGTACTATACAGCGGTAGACTGGCTCGCTCCACAGCAACTGAGTGTAAGGCAGGACTTACCAAAGGAAAGGCTTGAAGAAGGGCGTGCCGAGACAGGAAACACTTGGCTGTGAGAATAGGACGTGTGAACATGTCTCAGTAAATCACAGGGCAAAGCCAAACCGGTAGTAAAGACCTGGCTTTGGCAAGCAATGCGTTGAACCCCCATTAAGCGTTGGATCACCCTGTTCAAACCTGTAGCCTCCAGAGCCAGCAGGTCTTTCTCAACTGCGCTCCAAGCTCAAGATCGGTGAACGCAAAGGATGCCAATATATGCCAATGGAAATCCTTGTGGATATATATAATACACACTCCCTGAAATAATCATGGAAGTGGACAGTGGCCCCTTGGAAGACAATGTTGTCCACTTCCATAATTGTTGCAGGGAGGGTATATATATATATATACATACCTGGACCTTCAAGGGGTGTCCAATGCAGGTCCCTTAGTAGTGTAGGGGCTTCCATTGGTGACCCCTTTGAAGGTGCCGAACCCTTTGAAGGTGCCGTCCCCCGTGTATATGGAGACCTCTTTGAGATCGCACGGGTTCGGCAGATCGTCGCCGAGGCAGTGGCTCCAAGAGCTTCGACGACAGCGGCTACAGCCCCCGAGCTCAGAACGGTTTGCTGAGCCCAGACGCCTTCCAGGCGTGGTGAAAAAAACACAGTGATGGCCCTGTCAGAGTTCATGATCCACCTACCCAGTCAGTGGATAAACGTTTGCCATTTTTTTTGCAAGAACAGGAACCCCCACTGAACAAGAACTGGTGGTAGACACATCGGTTCATCTGTCTTTTCAATTTGATCCGAAACCTCGGGCTGGTCTTGATTTCATGGTGTTTTCCCAAATGCATCACCTGGTATTTTTGATGCAGTCAAACAGTTCTTGTACTTCAAGTTCCGGCAAGATTTGATTTTTGTATCTATGTATATATGGTGAACGATGCTTTCTTTTTGATGCCCTGTCCGCCAAGAACACCCAAAACACCTCATAGTTGTCACCCCGTTCCTGTGGGTGGGCCGTTCCGCCCCGCCTTCTTTTTCTTGAGGCCCGACCGCGTCTCCTTCAACACGCTGATCTTGGGGCAAGTCAGAGCTGGCGAGCTGGAGAGGCTGGCCCTTGCTGAACGACGCGAGTCATCCGAGCCGAGCTGGTGGAAACATCTGGAACCACTGGGCCGAAGAAAACCAAGAGCCGAGCCAAGTCCGAAGTAGCGCGCTCCCATCTGCAGTACTGTTCTACATTGTTCTACTGTATAGTTTCTATGTTTCGTTAAGAAGAGAAAAGGTGATGATTATTTCCGGGTGGATGATTTCGTCCCAGATGTGCATGTATCCAGATCCTTTGGGGCCCATGGTCCATGGAAACGCCAAGCCGTGGTTTTCCCGGCTTTGTGATTTCAAAAAGGAGAAGAGAGAGTAAAAGCCGGAGCTTTTGTTTCTGAAGATGTATCTTGTGAAGCCAAGTGGTACAAAAATAGGCTCACTGCTTTGATCTAGTCCACGCCATGTGCACTTCTCCCCAAAGAAATCCTCCGTGCACTCTGCCGAAGAATGAGAAACAGGGAAGCGTATCATTCTTTCTATGACAACCTGCTGACTCTTGTGAGGGTGAAGAGAAGTGGGGTAACTCCCTCCGCCGTTTGAAAGGACGTCGCCGCTTGGGAAGAGGATCCACGTTACACAGATTCCACAGCACTGCCGCGTCTCGGAGGGTGTTGGCAGGATCCACGTGTTGGGAGTCTTGACTTTGAGATGGATTATGATGCTACGATACTATAGGATATTCTCCTGAAAACTATCCTAGCACTTCCCAAATGACTCCGAATAGTCATTTTCGGGTATACCCAGCTCTTTCTGTGGCTGACTTGCCAGGGCAGAGCAGAGTTTGGAGGAGCTTCGCAAAGCGAGGTGCAGGCATGGACGGATTCCGCAGTTGGGGGTTGCGAGCGTTCATGTGTTTCATGTGTCCTTCCTGTGAGTCCAAAAGGACAAGCCGAGTAGTGTCAAAAGCCCTGGCGCTTTGACCCAAGACATTTGGGCGCCACTTTACTTGGTGAGCCTGGACACGTTGAGCAACTTGGCCGGACCCAGATGAAGCATCTCTTTTCGCCTGTAGGCCTGACTTGCTCTCCTACATGCCGCCGGGGCCTCGATAGTTGCGAAGATATGCCGTAGAACTTTGACACGGACGGAGCGTTTTTTCGCCTCGGGGTCGCAGAGGTGAACTCTCCTCAGATCCCCTCTGGGAGCCTCTTAGGAGTTGATTCGGAGCCTCTTAGGAGCCTTGAATGCGCGTTGGGCCGTGACCAGGAACCAGGAACCACGTTGGCTCGTTCGCTCGAGTCAAGTCCGACTTTGAGGTCTCAACGCAGACACAAGAGCTGTACAAGCTCAGTTTTTCCGCTGAGACCGAAACCACTTCTGCCGAAACCACCACTGACCGAAACAATCCGAAACATAGATTCATTCACCCAACTCCACTCCCCTGTCCATCAGCTCCGGAAGGCTCCTGGATGCCTATGCCAGAACGGGCGACGCCGTGCGGGACTCGTTTCCGCTCGGCCAACGGTTGGGACGGGATGGCACGAGGGGGGACGGCTGTTTTGGACCGTGTAGACACCATGTAGACATGTGCAGCTCAGTTTGTGGATGTTGCTTTTTCATCCTTCGGGGATAGGAAAGTGGAGTTTGTGCAATATCACAGCAGTTCTCCCTCTGTCGCATGTTGAACAGACCTGTTGCCTGTTGCTCATGGTTCCTCCACTTTCCAAGGAAAAGTTGCTTGCAAGCTTGGAGAAGATGCTGCACGCTCGAGTGTGCAGCCCCGGTCATTCCAAGGGAATTGGATGCTCGATGGTGCTTTCAGAGGAACGTACAATATTCCGACATTGTCGACCACATGGTCGAAGGACCAGTCAGACGGAAGAAAATCGAAAAGCACAAGAACAGGTAAAACAATGAGGAGATCCCATGGGATGTTGCTCCTTGCGGGTTGCTCAGTCTGATTTTTCTCTCTACGAGTTGAGCCAATATGCTTTGGTGGTCGTTTCGTTGGGCAGCTGTGAATTCTTATGTATTTGCAATGGTTTTCAATGTCCCTTCCATGGCACTCTAGCAACCTGCGAGGCAACAGGCAACACGGAACACCCGAGCAGCAGCAACAAGAGTGATGGATCGTGATCTGTAGGCTATAGGATCGATATGGATCGATCATGGGTACCCAAAACATCCCCCATGATTGATCCTCTATGAAATAAGTATCTGTTTCCACTATGAAATGATCTGGGCACAGGTCATTTTATAAAAACATGAGTTTGGAAATTGGAACATAAATCTACACAACATCATTTCATAGAAAGATCAACTGGGGAAAGGAGGATTGCTGCTAAGACCATGCCAAAGTGAGACAACTCATGTCCTAAAACAAAAAAAACTGTTGGTTCCTGATGATTGTCTATGATTCTACAGCAACACCATTTTATAGAAATCCTAGCGTTTTGTGTTAAATGACTGCGCATATGGTCTCAGTATTCTGAGGCCAACTCATTTTTTTAATACAGTCTGCTGGAGGTGATATTGTGGTATCGATTCAAGGCAAAGCATTTTATAAATCCAAGCTGTGATCTGTAGCCTTTTGGTTTTGAGAGGCATGGATATGGCTACGCATTTTATAGAAAGGACGGCTATTCATTTTATAGAGAATAATGATGCCCAAAGTATTTCATAGCCGTCTTTTTGTATAAAAGGAAAAGCTGCCAGGACTTGCCACCAGACAAGGGGGATCCCAAAACATCCTAAACTCTTGTGTGATCAAGCGATTCAGGTGGAGCCAGATGCTTCGACTTGGCGCACCTGTAGCAAGGCAATTGTTTGTTTGCTTGTTTCTTTGTTGTTTTTGGTCCCCCGCCGGGTAGGCCAGGGCAGATTTGGGAGTGATTGTTAATGGCTTGAGTCAATCATGCTTCGAGCAGTTGATATTGACCAAAGTATTGGTCAATCTAGACCCCACCGGAATTTTACTATAACATCATAACAACGTCCTTCGTTTCGGTGTCATGGACTCCGGGCCTCGCGTCACGCCATTTTGTTCGGCGAGCGGATGCCAGGTTCAGCAGCACGTGGGGGGACCCAAGTGGGGTGAAGACCGAAGCGAAGCTGCGATGAAATCTTCACGGTGAGTTTGGCAGATTTTGTACACCATGAACACTAGTCAGGACATAACTTGACTCTAAATCGGAGGTCATGAGTTGCACGCTCCTGGCAAAGGTCCTTGGTTTCTTGACAATTCTGGACATGCAGATTGTCGAGGCATTTTGTTTGAGGGTGAATTATTTAGTTCTACAATATATTTTTTTTTAATTTGATGTTTTTTTTTCAATCTAATGTTATTGAATCCAAAATATTCAACAAGAAATCCTATCAAATTGCGATAAATATGCATGGCCACTTAGGTACAATCCAATAAACAAATTGTCGAAGAAATCAATCGAATACGAAATCAATGTAAATCAAAACTAATATATTAATAATTAATATATTAATAATAATTAACATATTCTTGATATTCCGAGGAAAAAAATATATTATATAGATTATTTAAATATATTTATATATATTATATACAGATCAATAAATAATCAAAATATATATATTTAATTAATTCGATTGATTTGATATATTTATTTAATTCGATTGAATTGGATTGTGTATTGGTTAGTTGTGATATAGGTATATTTTGATTGTTTAGGAATTTATAAATTAATATAGATGTTTTTTTAAAAAAACAATTATTATTTTATTGGATTTGATATTTGGATATTATTGATTTGTTAAATTATGTAATATAATTTGTTTAAAGATATGGTATATTAATTTGAATTATTGATATATATATTTTTTATATTGAAAATATAAAATTGATAATTAATTTTCAGATTCTTATAGAATTCGAAGAATTAAAGGATATATTAAAATGAAATTATTTAAATATTTAATCGAATGATTATATTCGGATTAAAAAAAGAATATTTGTATAAATAACCATTAAATCCGTAAAAATTTGATTGTCGAATTACATATTTTCGAATATATAAAAAAAATAAATAATTTATTTTAGATCTTTTGGCCCAATATTTATTTAGTTATTGATTTCTTTTTAATTGTAGGAGATGTTGTAGTGTATTTTTACCTAGAAATCGGAGGTGACATATATTTATAATTATGAAGCCATTGTCCAAGGATGAAATTTCGGATGATCATTAGTTCTTAATTCTATGGCGTCTCGATTTGTCGATGAGGAGTCTAGAGAGCAGAGAATTTCATTAATTGATCATTCAATTGAACGATATTCAATTGTTGATTATGAGGCATAAATTAACCGGATTGCAGACAGGTTCCTTGGCCGTGGCAATAGCATAGAAATTGAAATGTTGATATATCGTCTAGCAATATGTGTTATGTCCTTAATCTTCTTCGAACTCAACTTTGGACCAATTGGATATATGATGGATTTGGCAATGACCATTGGGGTATTTGGCATCAGAAGCTTACACATTTATTGACCTATGGGGGGAACAACCATTGAATCTTTTTGATTATGCTGCACTTGGGGATACTGTGAATCCATGGATTCCCCAATATGGTGACATTTAGCAGGATGCAGCCGAATTTGTTGGTTGGTTTAGAGCTCAATTTGTTGGCCATAATGATGTTGACCAGATCTCCGCTGGATAACAGAAATGCCTCCCTCATTCAACGATTCCCCCGTTTTTGCTGCAATGTCTCCTTGCAAGAGTTGATAGATGAATGGCATCAAAATGCTCCATATGTTTATGTTTTCTTTCATCCCAATAATTTGATTTATGTGCAGATTGATCGTTTTCCCAATTTGGATTATGTCTTTTGTGAATCGATCTATTGGAATCGAATTGAGATGTTGATCCTAATCTTCGATGAAGCCCAAGGTTTTTCGGTCACATGGCACAACTTTCATATTTTGGCCAATATCCTTCATTTAGGTCCTGTGTCTTAGAATGGATATTATATTTCGATCTTGCATTCCTCATTGAATCTCCTTATTGCAGATGATGGAGACAAATACCGCCAGACCTTCATGAATAGCTCGTGAGAACTACATGCTTTGATTTGCACCTGCAGAAAGGCTCCAACATCGACGATGGCGCCAACCCATCTGCTAGACCGTGGCTGGACCATCGCCAGATGACCGAAATTCGACGGTGATATATTTTCATGATTTGCTCGGAGCAATTTTTGACACATGAGACCTTGCGGATTTAGGCACGATGTTCCCGAAACGTCCGGAGCTTGCAGCTACCGCAACCCAACACGGGCAGATTCACCTCTGCCGGCCTTGAAATGAAATGTAGATATTTTATTTATATATATATATTTAATGAATAATTTTAATGTAATAATTAATATATATTTAGAAATATAGAAAATATATTTATATATATTTATTTTTAATAGGTTTAAATCATTTCTATATATTTTAAGCATGTATGTTTAATAAATATATTTATATATATTATTGTTATTTTAATCAATATATATTTAGATTGTTTTTATTGATTATTAATATTCTTTATTTATTTATTATAATATAATGAGGATGGAATATATTATTAATATATATTTTCTTATGTTATATGTTATTGTAATAAATATTTGAAATAAAATAATATGTATATAAAATATAAAGAATAATAATTCAAAGATTTTAATATATTATAGATATATAATCTAGTATATATTTATGGAATTATTATTAGGTTATTCGACATTTATGTTTTTAAATGATAACAAATTCCAGATTGATATTTTATATTGTTTTTTAATTTATATATGTTTCCTACCCTCGAAAAATATTTTAAGATTATGTGTTTCCCTACCCTTTGGATTCTTCCTAAGCCTTCCAAAATCTTTTATTTTCACCCTGCACTCTGTCATTTTCACTCTGTGACATGTTTGTTTCACCCTTGACCGGTTATTATCTTGTATTTTTTTTTCACCCTTCACCTTTTCTTTTTCATCCTCGACCCAAACCCTCCGCCCATGAAACACGTAACCCTGGAGCTTGTACAGAGAACCTTCGTTTTATTTCCCACCGCTTGTCCCTGCACCAGCAACAACGCGGCCAAACCAACGACCAACCAAGCAACCAACAAACAAGCAACCAAGCCACATGATTCCGTGTTTTCCCCAAGTTCTGTAGATACTAGAAATCCCGTGCGGGGGAGGCTTACTTTGCATTGCAGGGGAGACGTTGCGTATTTCCCATTTACATAATACCCATCCATCCATATATCCATCAATGAAGTGCCAACCAACCAAGCAACAACGCGGCCAAGCCAACAAAACCACCAAGCAAACCAAATCCAAAAAATAATAAGCCAAGCAGGCCGAACCAACCAATACACCAACCAAAGGAAGGATAATAAACAAGAAAGGATGGATAGCCCACCAGCAGCAAATATACCAAGCAACCAACAATTTTCCCCAAATGTTGTCGATTCTTGTTTTGCATTGGTAGCCTACCAAGCAACCATCAAACCAAGTAACCAAACCAGACAACCCTGTATTTTCCCAAATTCTGTCGATATTTGGTTCGCATTGTGGGGGAAACATTGCATCCTCCCCCGCACCCCCTCCCGCCTTTATTTATATAACATCCATCCATCCATCCATCCATCAACCAAGCACACACACAGAAAAAAATACAAGTCCATCAAACATTATATCACGCAATCAATCAACAACAAAGAAACCAAACAACCAACCCACAAAAAAAATACATTTTTCTCCTTACCCATGATTCATCCATTATTATCTATGCTTTCCCCAAATCCAAGCAACCAACAAGCCAAGCAGGCCGAACCAACCAACACATCAATCAAAGGAAGTGGTGTAAAAAACAAAGGGTGGATAGCCCACCAAATTACCAGCAAACCAAGCGACCAAACTGTGTTTTCCCCAAATGTTATCGATATTTGCCTTGCATTGGTAATCCACCAATTATTCAACAAACCAAGCAACCAAAGACACACAACCCTGTATTTTCTCCAAAGGCCGTCGATATTTGATTTGCATTACAACAAGCTAGTCAACCAACCAACACACCAGCAAAAGAAGGGTGGGTGAAAAAGAAAGGGTCGAGGGTCAAAAAAGAAAGGGTAGAGGGCGAAAGGTTCGATGGTGAAAAAAAAAGGGGTTCAGAGGGCGAAAAGGAAAGGTGAAGGGTGGACAAAAAAGGCGGGGTGGAAAAAATAATTCAAAGGATAAAAAATAATTGCCCTATCATAAAATATATTTATATGGAAATTGAAATGATGTTGAAACCAACAATGAAAAGGATTATCCATCAAAATAATTTTCAATTTCCATCTAAATAATTTTCAACTTTTTATTCGATGGAAATAATAATATTGTAAAATTTTTCAAGAAATTCAATTAAATGGTGCATAAATCAAAAATATATTTATTAATGATTATCCACATCTCCCAAATATGAAGTATTTTCGCAATTCGGCGCAGAACGCCAACGATTTGTTACAAAGATTGTTTCCGGGATTTTGAAATAATATTGCCATACATCTCTTGTTGAAGAAGACTTTCTCTAGATGATCATCTTTCTTTCCTGGCCTGTCTGCTTTCAATGGTGTTTGTAGCCCGCTTGAATCTTCTCTTGGTGATCTACGTGCCTCAATAATTGAAATTTTAAGATTCAAATATCCATATCAATCAATTTTATTGATAAATCAATTAATTTTTCTTCATATTTACAATCTTTCTTTCAATACAAATTCCTTTGCATCATCCGGAATTTCGAAATGGGCAAATTCTCCTGCATCTTATTAAAGAAGAAATAAATGAAAATAATATCATAAACAAAATTGCAATCCAAGGAAATCATCCCGCGATGGATCGATGACCCCTATATCAAAATAAATCATAAAAACAAATCTTTAGATATATTTAATGATAAATAACAATTCGATATCAAATCTAAAAAACAAATAATTCAATCGCAAAAAAAGATATAGTTTATTTTTCGATTCATATTCATATTATTCCTTAAATTAATCATTAACAATCGATAAAATATCGAAACATAAAAAGATCCATCCTATATAAAAATTAACGAA